TCCTCTATGAAGGCTACTTGTCTGGGGTATGTTTTTAGCAGTTTGGTATCATATGTCCTTATGCAGCTTCCATCATTCAGTCAATGTAGACTAAATCCACTTATAGTGTTGTCTATGACAAATAAACTTCCCATCTCATTGACACATGCAGAGCCCCTAGGTGCAGGTCAGATCAATTGGTTTGCTGAAACAGTAAGACCTCTTACTCATGTTGTCATTCCTGTAGACCTCATTTTGATGACCATCCTGTTGTCACTTTGTAGAACATGTCTTGCAAAGGGCAATCTTATTAGATCCATATGCACAAGTCTCAGGTCCTATCATCTTACATGTCTCCATGTACATCCCAAAAAATATGATGTCACAGCCTCAGAGGTACACAGCATGAGGAATGGATGTTGTTAACTTGACACTGAAGATGTTTGACAGTTGATTCCTAGAATCTATCATCCAGGCCTGAACTCATTTGTCCCACATCATTACAACAATATGAGTTCCTGTGCTGTTACTTGTGTCTGGAGCAATGGCCATGATTTCATGGCCCCCACTAATCCTCCTGGCAATTACTTCCTTGAATTCAACCACAGTATGTGGGCACTGCCTCCAGATCAGCAAGTAGCCCAGTCCTGTCCTGCAGCACAAGGTTGCTTGTATACTGTCATTTTGTGCAAGCCAAGTAATAGTTGTAATGGGATCTTTGGGACTTTGCATCTGTGGAGGTTGGGGTAACTGAACCTCTTTGTGTAAGTCCCATACCCTCAGTCCATCAAAATCTGCTAACTAATATGCATGGGATTTGAAAATAACACTACTGAGTTCCTACCTCCACTTGCCAACAGTGTTCCAGAGTTTGACACTGCTAGACAGAGGATGGCATCCTGGTGCCCCCACAAGCAGCACCCAAGTGCATACTTTGTCAGAAACTTGAGAATAGAGCTGAATACCATTGGGTAAATTGTTCATCAGTCAGGCAAAGTTGTCAATGTAAATACATTGTATCCATTATTGTTTTCAATGGTACCTACCATGGCTAATAGAGGTGTGTTTCCTTCTGACTACAACCATTATGACATTGACCATTACTTCAGCTCCTCATGACATGTAATTGTAGGAAGAATCCCCAATCTGATTTTAACAATGTGAACAAAAAGCTCAATGTGAAATGCAATTTACATAATGACATAAGTGGTGCAACTAAAATTACTACTGTAACTACAATCAGGTAGCAGATGCCTGTGACAATGGAGTTGCATTTGCCTGGCCATGCTGGAGACTGACCAGATCTTTATCTTTACTTTTGAGCGATTAGCTGCTCCAGACCCATTCTGTTCACCTGACTTGGGTAATTATTGGTGATTGGTCCATACTGTTGCATGTGTCTAGATCATTTTGGTTCCTTGTACTTGAAACTAATACCCAATACATACCATGCCAATGACAAGCAAATCTTGTCCTGATGACAGGGAGGGCCCTTGTCCATATACCATTAAAAAATCCTTGTACTCAATATGTACCATGCCAATGACATGCAAATCTTGTCCTGATGATGGGGAGGACCCTCATCCATGTACCATAAGAGAAGTGGTAAGGGGCACAATTTGACACAATTTATGAACTAAATTCCTCTTCCCCTTCTGCTCTATGCCAGCTCAATCTCAACATTTTCAGTGTCTCTGTACATTGTGTTGTGAGGTTGATGAGCATGGAACTGCAGCAAATCCCAGAGGAAAACCCCTCCCTCTAGCACACTGTGCTATACTCCTTGTTGACATCCAGTGAAGGGAAGAATTTTTGAGCCAGAACCTTCCCAGCAAATCTGCATGTGCTAGGTTACATCTTGCCAACTGTGTATCTTCCACCTTGCAGCCTTCACTGCAGGCAGAAGTGGGTGAACTTGCTTCTGCCCTCCCCACTTTAACTATCTCCAAACCCATGTGTGCTGTGTCAGATCTTGCCTACCATATATCTTCCACCCTGCAGTCTTCATTACAGATGGAGGTAGATGAACTTGCTTCTGCCCTCCCCACTTTAACTATCTCTGATGCCCCTGTGATGGCAGGTACAAACATTGCACACAGGTAACATGGCATAATTGGCACATACAATTTGGTAACTGAATGTTATGGCACAGCCATATATCCAATCATGAAAGTAACAACTGCACAGTGAAAGCACACAAGGTACTCAATGCTATTGAGAAACAGATCCAAACTCTACAACAATTCCCCTCTACCAGCTATCAGCAACTTCATCCCAATCTCAAAGCAGTTAGGAATGCCTTGGGCAATGTAACAAGACAAGTGGATTCTGCTACAAAATGCAAGAGAGAACTTAGCAGTTTGTGTGATGAGCTAGAAGAATGCATCAGCCCCAAGGACAATGACAATGGGCCTATAGACTATGACTCATGTATGCATGTCAATTGAACTCACAATTTGCCACTAATCCTGTTAGTGTAGTGCACCACTTCAAATTATCAATCAATAAATGTGCTGAAACAGTCCAGGTCTCCCTTCTCCTTGCTACCGTTAGTGTGTTGGTACTGGGTGTTAGCTGCAGGGCTGGGGAATTTTTCCTACAAATGATTTCACACCTCCTCAGCTTAGTATTTGACTCAGTTGGCCTGAGGGCAGACATGCTATGTGAGCACACTCTTTCCCAAATCCCAAAAACTATACCAGCTGCACTTTCCCATTTCAATCTTGAGCCATGCACAACAATGTATGCTGTGTGTCCTGTCTGCAGCTATATATACAAGCCTCAAGCCAATAAAGGGAAATACTCATACCCCATACTCTGCACAAATGTGCCTTGCCCAGTGAGGACATCTGTAATGTTCTTCTAGTTAAGGATCTGGAGGATGGCTGCAAACATCCCATCAAGCCCTTCATTTACCACCATTTCCACAACTGTGTTGGAGGCTTACTTGCATGGCCTGGGTTAGAAGACCTCTTGGACAAGCCATGTGATCGCCTGGTCAAGAACCTACATCACAAACCCTCCTTCCTCAGAGATGTCTAGGATGGCAAACTCCTGTGGACATTCAAAGGACCTGATGGAGAAAAACTATTTGTAGATCATGGGGATGAAACTTGCCTTGTATTCTCCTTTAATGTTGATTTCTTCAATATTGAAGGAAATCAACAATGTAATGCAACTACCTCTTGCGGTATCATATCCTGTGCATGCCTGAACCTCCCCCGGACATGTGTTATAAACCCAAAAACATGTATCTAGCTGGTATTATCCCTGGCCCAAATGAGCCTGTCAGTGACCAGATCAATTATTTCCTGGATCCCCTGATTGATGACCTGGTCACCAGTTGGGAACAAGGTGTGCACTTCTCTCATACAGGCACCCAGAGAAATTGCATTGCCTGTGCAGCCTTGGCTTGTGTTGTATGCAATCTTCCTGCTAGTAGGAAAGCTGCAGTGATGAGTCATTTCTACTGCAGTACTTGCAACTGCAGTCGCATCAGTACCCTTGGGCAAACAGATGTCACCCCTGATGACTGGAAATTTTGAAATAACACCCTTCTATGATCACAGGCAGAATCCTACAGATGGGCTCACTCAGTCACCAAATGCAACAAGATTTTCACTACTTATGGCACAAGATAGTCAACACTCTGGCACTTGCATTACTGGAACCCTGCATGTCAATTAGTGGTTGATCCGATGCACTGCCTCCTGGAGGGGTTAACCCAAGATGAGATTTGTGAACACCTGGGACTCACAACAGTTATGGCAAGTAAAAACCATATAGCGAGTGCAACACATGTGGTGTTCAAGCATGACTTTCACAGCCCAGGTGAAGACAAGGTTGTCAACTTAAACCACAATAGTAAAAAGCAAATTGCCATCATTCAGATGCTGCTCCTCACTGCCATGGAGGACTATTGTGACAATGGTGGAGATGATTCAATCAACGTAGCTTGCCACTTCTCCCAACTAGAGAAGAGACTCAGGGCAAAGAACACTGAAGCATTACAGTACATGGCCAAAGGACTTCGTGTTTGACCAACACTGGAGAGGGGGAGTAGAGTGTGCAAAGCACACTAGGTAAATGCATTGTCAGCCTGGGTGAGTGCCACTCCATGACAAATACCATTATCGTATCTCTGCATAATGTTGGATGAAGCCCATGAGAGCTCCCCCTGTTGTCCAAACCTCAACCCCAGAAGTGATGCACCAAATCCAGCAAGTGATCAAAGACACCAATACCCCATCATGGGTGAGATCAGTACCACATAATTTTGGTGATACATGGGCTGGTACCTTGAAAGCTGACGAGTAGTGTACCTTAGTCACAATTTATGTCCCCTTGGCTTTAATCAGCTTATGGAGACAAGACTCTAAGCATCACACTGATGAACTAGAGTCACAGTATCTTCGCATCCTGGAGCACACAATGAATCTGGTCTCCACTGTGTGTGTTGCATGCCTGCGAAGCATGACTGAGGAGCAGATGACTTCTTACTGGCACTATGCCAGGAGTTGGCTGAAGTCCCTGTTGGAAATCTTCCCCCATGCACCTATACATCCAAATTACCACATGTCTATACATATTTATGGCTATCTCAGACTTTTTGGACCTGTGCAGTCCTGGTGGTGCTTCCCTTATGAATGTCTCATCAGACACTTGCAACATATGCCCAGAAACCACAAATTTGGTATGTCATCTTGGAGTTCTTCAGGGTCTCTACAATGCTCATGCTATCCACAGGCCAGCAAGAAGAAACTGTTTTACAAACATTTGTACAAAGTTCCTGACTCAAATCTTGGCTCTCTCACTCAGATGCTCCAAAAATTATTCAGCAATGTAAATCTCTTTTCGACAAATACCTATCTGATTCCGAAGGCTTGACTTATGACTCTAACTACGAGTCAAACAAACATCCTTCCCCAGTTCCAAGCAATCTTCATAAACTCACATCATCAAGGTCACTCGTCTTCTATTCCTATTTCTGGTTTGGCAGATCCACTTTCAGTGGCTGCTCCACCCATGTGGGCAACAGTTTAATCTTCTTCTACCCTGGAGGCCATACTTGTACTGCTGTTCCTGGCAGTATCAAGTACAATGTCATGCATGAAGGGGAAGTTCATTTTGCTGTCCAGCACCAGCTTCCTGCTAGTGAAGATGTGCCTGACATGTTTAGTCATTATCCACACTTCCCTGCATCCCTCTATAGTGCTAAGCTTTCAGACATACTAGAGTTTGTCTGGCCATCATGGGTGGTGTGTCATTTTGCATGGTGGCAGTATTCTCAGAGAGACACTGTCATACTTCGACTGCATCAGGTATGTCACCATAGCCACATTGTGTCATGTAAGTAAAACTGTTTTAGGACTGAGTGGGGTCTTTTGGTTGAACATGAATATGAGCATATACTGGTACAGTGGCTCATGAAATCAGTATTGAGATTAGTACATGAGATACAAAGACATATAGACAATCAAATACATTATACACCATGTATGATGACCTGCATCCACTGAAATTCTTCATCTGATGCAATGCTGGGATTCCTTTCTAGCCAGTTGGGTTTTGCATGCAACTCATTTAGAAAAATACCAATAATGGTTTGGTTCCAAACTGATGAAACTGGGCTTGAGAAGTCCCATTGCAAGTTGGGGAGATTGGGGCCTGGACTGTTGCCTTCAGTAAAATCCATTACCACCTCATGTGGAGGTAGTTCATAGGCAAGGAAGTCTTCATCCCTTGTAACTGAAAAGATATTACTGAACAGTTCCCTGATGTGCCCCTATGGTACATTACAACACAATTATCATTGGAAAGACATCACAATGGAAGTAAATCACTTGCCAGATTATCATTACTCTCTTGATCATTCAAGATCTCCTGTTTCACTGTAGTTGACTGGCAATGCTTCCTGGAGTTAACTTTGTGGTGTGGGGAAGGTGTACTGTAAAGAGGCTCTGCAGTACCACTTCTTAGCATCTGGACAACTTCTTCTGCAACTGAGCCAACTGTGGCTTCCCTAAGAAGTGTTCCAGAAAGTCTTTCAGTGCCCACACTCATGCTTGCATGAGGTTCTTCTTTGACTACAGTGCTGAGTTGTCTGATCTCCACCTGTGGATCAGACCTGTGAGGAACTCTGGATGGCATAGAGGATATGTGCAGCTGCATAGAATGGGATGATTGGTGACTCTGCTTAAGGGCATCAAGTTGGTGCACAGCACCATTGAATTTTTGAGCCAACACTGCAAGCTCAGTCTCCTTCTCTGTCAATAAATGCAATTTAGGCACTACACATTCATAACAAAGAAGCCTTACATTTACTCTAGTGATATCATGATCTAGTTTAGCTTGCAGCGTCCTAAATTCAGCTTGGAGATTTTCAACAACAGTCCTTTGCTGTTCTATGGTTGTGTCTCAGCTCTTGAGTTCTTGCTGGAGTCACACATGTTCTGCAGCCAAGTGCAAAAGTTCCATGTTTCTGTCTCCCTGTGGAAGGGATTAGGGATTAGGCACAAGGGATTGTATCCAATGATAGACATACATCTAATCTAGTAAATTCATGGTCTAGTGCAGTTTGAAGCATCCTAACATTCTGGTCAAGGCTTTCGAGCAATGTCCATTGCTCCTGTATAGTTGTGTCACAGACATGAAGTTCCTTCCCTACATGTTCCTTGTATGCACTGAGTGATCGAGTTTTGTCTTCCAGCTCCTGTTGTACCTCGGCCAGTGTTAAGTTGTATTTCTTTTCGATAGTTAGGCATGTTTCCTCAAAGGTTTTCATGAGTTCATTGCACTCCTTTGCTTGCTCACACATGAAACTGTATAAGTCACTGCAAAGGTTAGACAAGTAGTCTAATTCCTTCAGAAACACTTTCTGCCAGTACGAGTTAGATGATACTTTTAAATAGGTGGATAGTGTGGAGCACTCACTGATGAAATGAAGGGGTGTCTAGGTAAACAAGATCCTAAGGATGTGATATCACAGGTGGTATTCACTGTGACAGGGCATGTACCCAGACTGGATCCTGCAGCTCTAACAACAGCAGTATCCATGGGGACAGGGTCTACCTCCTCACCCACAGACATGATTGCTGTGCTTGAACATATATTGATTGTGGGCTTGGTGTCCATGACTGTACCGGATGTGATCACCATGGTTTTATGGGTATCAGTGGACTCAGTCTCTTCAGTGTCCATAACTGTACTTGCCATAGTTGCATGAGCATCAATAGCTCCTGTCTTCATTGATGGCAGGGAAGGGCTGGAAAATGACAGTCAGGAAAGGTTGGGGGGTACTGCATCTACAGGTGGTTCTTGAGGAATGAGCATGGAGCATGACACAGATTACTTACCACTCCACAGATCATCGATGCTCTCTCCAGATGGGTCGCAATTGCGATTCAGAGGGGTCAATGGGTAGCTTTCTTCTCCAGATGCAAACAGCAAGAAACACATTGTTAACAGATTTCAACTTGTTAAGTAAACACATTATATACTCACCTGATGTCCATAATTGGCAAAAGGATCATACAACAATTAGTCTAGCATCATCAGATCATCACCAGGGAGGTGTTAGTGAGAACAATTTAGATAACAATAGCCTTGTTACTAGTACACACAGCAGAGAGCAACCTACAAAACACATTCTTGGGTGGCAATGATTTCATTGAGGGGATGGGCACTTTCAAAAAGATACCAAAACTGCTGTCCTGGACAATAGGACAAATCAATAATCTAGAAGTACATAGATCTTATCTTTATTGATGGCTCTTTTGTTGCCTCTAAGCTGTGGGCTCCAGCATACACAATTTCGCATTTATTTACACTTGTATTTCAGAGCATATGAAATCTTGAAATCGTGCATCACTCACAAAAATTCAGGGGAGGGGACATCATGGGGAAGATCACCTACAAAAATTCATAATATATCATCCCCCACAACAGGATTTGGAAGTGTACTTACAGGAGGAAGAAGCTTGGGGGGAGGGGACACAGCAGGACACATTGCCTGTGAGATACCCAATAAATTAGTCTACCAAATTGAATTCAAAAGTTTACTTACAGGATGATGAAGCCTGAGGGGGAAAGGTATCATGTACACCTGGTGTATGTCAGTAAATTGCTCTACACAACATCATGACATGAGTTTCATGTTGATCTCAGGTTCCATTGGCAATAGGAGCAAGTCACTGTAGGCCTCGAAGCAATCAGGCGATGATTTCTGCTATATGAGGAAATGGGTGCTTTTGAAGATTGGCAACACCTATTTCCCTGGACAATAGGATGAAACAATAACCTAGAAGTAAATAATCAGATTGATAACTAAGCCAGCAGTGTGGATGCACTTATGCTTATCTTTGTCAAGTAGCTCTTCTGTTGCCTCAAAATCATCAGCTGTGGCATACAAAATTTCATTTTTTCATCTACTTTGTTTACTTATCTACATCTACACTTGGATTTCGGAACAATATATCAGTCACATCTACAATCTTCCTATCTACATATTTGATATTTGGAATGTTGGCATAATCATGTTGATTGCTGTCAGTGCAGTTAGTCTGTAGTAGCAGTCAACATTGGCCACTTACCTGTGGAAAGAAGGAAAAGGTGTTCATGAGAAAGCCTACTGCTGATATACTGAATGCAACTCACAGTTGTGTGGTAGCCACAGCAAAATCACACATTGCACAATGCATGCATGTGACTGTGAGTTGCATTCAGTTTATCAATGACAACTTTTCTCACTTCAGGTAACCATTTTTCATAAGCATTTAGGCTGAATAGTTTCTCCAAACCATCCAGCCTAATAGCCTCCCAGACCAAGTTCTGCCCAGGGACATCTGGTCATGTCCCAGGGCTATGCAGATTTTTAGGCCCTGGGACAGATGGGATTTCCCACATAGCCATCCATTCAAATGAAATTATTTGGGATGTCCCAAGACTGCCTTTGGTGACTGGGGTCCCTACTCCTGAAAGTGCAGCTTATATTAGCATTGAAATAGCTGCAGAAATCCTAGCCCCCTTGCTCCTCTGACAGATTTAATCCACAAAGTATCCTTTGACCTATACATCCCCTCCCATCCCACCATGCATAGTAGTATACAATAGTACTTTTCATGTACATCTTTGCAATGTGATTCTGCTGTATTTGGACATCTCACTAGTTGCCAGGGAGATGACCCACCTGGGCCTCCACATTTGCCTTGAAAATTGCAATAATAAATTCAATCAATTTGTGTCTATACCTCATGCAATTTGTACTGTATGAAGGAAGAAGTGAATGGTTTTTGAACACTTGTGTGACAAGCCAATATCTCAAAGTCCCCCACATAGAACATGGGGTTGGTCACCTTTGCAACACCATCTGCAGAGGGCAGAATGTCCCAGATGAGCCTCTGAGGTTGTCATGGGGCATTGTGCTGGTCTGCAAAGGTAACTTAGGAGGATGTGCCATCATAGCCCTCTGAGGCTGGGATGGGACATCCCACTGACTTTCATAAGGGGACTTGGGATGTCCCACAGCAGCCTCCAAGGCTGCCTTGGGACATCCCACCCTCCCCTTTGCCAACCAGTGGGATGTCCCATAACAGCCTCTAAGGCTACATTGGGACATCCCACTGTTCCCTCTGCCAAGCAGTGGGATGTCCCACAACAGCCTCTAAGGCTATGTTGGGATGTCCCACCCTCCCCTTTGCCAAGCAGTGGGATGTCCCACAACAGCCTCCAAGCCTACATTGGGACATCCCACCCTCCCCACTGCCAACCAGTGGGATGTCCCACAACAGCCTCTAAGGCTATATTGGGACATCCCACCCTCCCCTCTGGCAACTAGAGGGATGTCCCACAACAGCCTCTGAGGCTACATTGGGGCATCCCACCCTCCCCTTTGCCAACCAGTGGGATGTCCCACAGCAGCCTCTCAGGCTATGTTGTGATACATATCATTGCTTGAAATAGTCATGGCACCCAAAGAATGCTATTCAAATTGTATCCAGCAATCATACTCTGCAGGTCTCAAGTGTTGTATTATTTCTCAATCTCATGTCCTTCTACTATGATTTTATTTCAAGCAAGTCTTGAGATGTGAGGCAAGGGGACACAGGTATGGGGTAGCACATGATTGGTAAGCAGCCACCAAGTGTAGATAAGACAATACTGGGTGTAGAACTTCAGATCACAACAACACACTGCATAATTGCATATATTTTTGGTACTGTTCTCTAGATGATACACAGGGCTCCAAGGATATGAATCTTGTGTGAAGAAATATGCAATAATAGGCTTCCAATCTTACTTATATGTGCAATGAACATCTGGAAGCAGAGGGCTCTCTACTGCCCAAAAAGCATTGAAAGCCTGCTGGACAATTGATGTATAGATGACCACTATTGGTTTGCTAAGGTGCACAGATGCCTAGATCACTTGCAATTTTGATTGTATATGTGAAATCAGCCTATGCTTTTTCAGACTTATATAGTGCTAGAACTAGTCTAATTTTTACACCAGGACCTACATCTAATTTCCCTGATTCTGAATCTGCAAAAATTGCGGTGATCCGACTTGAATTGATTGAGATATCAAAGTTATAACATTTAGCTACTACATGTGTGTGATTGTGTTTATTTGGCCTTGCTCTCAGTTTTGAAAATAGCTGTAACATGAGGAGCAACAAGGCACAAACACAGTAGCTAGGACTGCAGGAATTGTATATACAGATTGAGGCATCATGTACAGTGCCTAACAGCAATGGACATGTGATGGACATTGGTACCATATGTGATTTGACCCTGGACCACCCCTAACAAAGAGTTGATAAGTGGCTGGTACTGAAATGTAACAGTAATGGCTGGGGCAACTGACATGAAACTATGGGATGTTGTAGAGGACTCCAAGGCAATCAGGGAGCAAGAGGGAAAATGCCAATTGGATCACCCAATCCTGAGGTATATGCTAACCCACCTCAAAACCCTTCAAACACAAAAGCAGGAATATCTCAACAACAAGCAAGCAGAATTGGGTGAACAAGGGTACCCCAGAAATGAATCAGTGAGAGGGGTTTGTGGCTCAAAAAGCGAGAGACACAGTGCTGATATGCATGAGGTACGATGAGAGGACCTCAAGGGGTGGGCCTTGCCACAAAAATGCAAACATCTCTGTAACTATTGCACCAATCACAACGATCTAGCCATCTCCAGGGAGTCATCATCTAGTAGTGCGAGTCTGCAAAAAAGTGAGAGACATGTCAGAGAAACCACTGAGATACAGCCCCAAGATTACAGGGGTAACTCCAGGCAAGTGAACAAGCAGGTGACAACCTCAGGACAATGGCTGGGGTGATTGACATGGTCTCAGGAAGGCAGTCGGGTACTCATAGATAAACATGGAAAAAAAGGAGCCACCATGATCAGACCATCAGATCCTGAGCTACACATGAAACTGTCTCACTGCCCTCCAAACATGAAAATGGTGATATCTCAATAGTGGCTCCATGGAATTAGACAAAAGAGGCCCCCCCAGAGAGGTCTCAGCGAGGGGAACAAGTGGTGCGAAAAGCGATAGGAAAGGTGCAGAACTGAGTGGAGAGCCACAGACTTGTCCCCCAAATCTGATGGTAACATCATCACTGACACCAGTGACATCAATATACAAGCAGCACATGACAAATATGTTGTAGGGGAAGCAAAAACTACACTAGTAGTAATCTTCATTTATATACTCCTCAGCAAAGTCATCCTCATATTGTGCAGCATTACCCCTGTTAACCCAATGAGGTTCACCTGACTGGGTTGGAGGATAGTAGTCATCAGTATATGGACCATTGTAGTAAGGATGGTTGGTTCAAGACAGAATGCAATGGAATCCTTGGCAAGACAGAGGAAATTGATTGCAGTGGCCAGAAGGTAATGCCTAGAGAGAATGCAAGTCAACAGTGAAACCTCTGCAAAATTGAATTACTCACATGATATGGGATATTAGATGGGCCAGGATCACAATAGTTCATACAGTCACCCCAAGAATCCTACATAATTCTTCCTTAGTCTTGTTACTGAAGGTCAGAGACCTGGATACTCACTTGTCATCTGGGAAAGACTGCTGGGCTGGGCCAGCCTCTCACATGTGAGGATGGCTTGGAAGATTATCCTGATGTAGATCCTATACGATGCTTCATTAGTCTTGTTATCAGACCATAGGAACCAAACCCTACCCTGTATTGCAGAGCCAGTGTGGGAGGCTCAGATGGGCCAGGCTCTCGAGTGTGCACATTGCTTGGAATTGTGGACAGGTCACAATGTGAATCTTGCACAATGGGGCATGCATCCCAGCATTGATCATGTGGCACAGTTCGATGATCAGACTGTAAAGCCTTGTGAACATCAGCAGATACCAGATATCGAGTAAAGAGCAGAACTTACCTGGGGACCAATAGTATCATGATTTGATGTCTCCACATGGGGTTGCTTCCAAGAGGGAAAAGGGAGTTGTTGCTGTGGTCAGGGTTGTGGCTGTCGAAGGACCTCCATGCCTTGCTGCTGGTGATCCATTTCCTTGAGGGACTTCTGCCACTCTGGATCATCTGAGATCTGCCACAAAACAGTACCATTGGTAGCTTTGACAAGTGCGATCTCACCCTTCAATGGGTCAGCATCCAAAATATCAATGACCTCTACACAGAACTTCAGCATCCAACTGGATGAATAAAATAGGGAATACCTTCATTCCAGCACTTAATCTCAATTTCCAGCACATCATCCAGACTATCTTGTGCTTCCTCATTATCGGTTTGCCCATCATACAAAAGACCCAGTTTTCTCTGAAGGTAGGGTACCACAAGTTGACAAAGAGGGCCAGCCTTAAGTTTCTTGTACTCAAAACCAGGGCCCAGTGGAGATACACCATGGGGCCAGTTGACAATAGTGAGGTGGCTCTTCCACAAAAACTTGAGAAGCTGGTGCCAGGAAACTTTCTGGGGATCACTGACTTCAATGCCATGTGTGACTGAGAAAAGGATCAAGATAAATGCACATACAGCACAAGAATAACTTACCACACAGATCTCTCAATGCAGCCAACATCTTCTCCTTCATCATGCTTCCAAATACTCTGTGGTTGCAGTCTCTCAGAGTCTCCTTTGTATGGCAACATAGTTCCAGTGCAGAACCCACATCTCCAATGGAACCAGTGCCAGCCACCCTGGCATCTGCACCATTGCCATTCCTGAGACACCTACAACAATCCAATGAGGTTGAATGAAACATGCAAGAAATAAACTTACTTGAAAATCATGGTAAACTTATCCATGAGTGACCAGACATCAATGCCATTTTCATTGATGAAGTTTCTTATCATCTTGGAGCCTCCAAATATGCCAGAAGTTTGACATCCTGCAGGGTCCTGTCCAACATACATTAATGCTCCAACTATCTCAATATCCTCAAGATTGGACCATGCCTCTGCCTGTGGAATGATCAGAATTGATGGCTGCACAGTTGCAACCACATACCAATCCAGAAAATTGTGTCTTTGCATTGTCCACTCTAGCTGCAATAGATTTGACAGATTGGTTAGTCAGTATGGCAGAGGAGCTCTCACTCCACTCATAGATGGCTTTTAACTTTTCCCTCCTTGCTGCAAAGTCATCCTTGGGGATGCCTATCATGAGGGTGTTGTACTCCTTCATGATCAAATTGTTGATTGAATTTTGATTGGCTGGTCAGGACATTAGAATGGTAGATGTGAGAGGGAGGAAAGCCATACCACCATCTGGTTTGGGCTGCATGGCCCAATACCGCAAGTGGAAGAGGTTTGCCTCATTAATTTTGGTATGAGAAGCCTTAACACTAAATCCTGCAGTGACAAGTATGTTGCATGTAGACTGCCCATGCTGTCAGCCAAGTTCTTCTGCTGTCATCTTGATGTCCTTCACAAAAGCATGTATTTCATCTAACACATCTAACACTGCTGTGGACAGATTCCCTGGCTTCTTGAGGTTTGGGAGTTGGGTGTCATGGTCACTGTTGTTTGCAGCATCAATGTCCTTGGCATCTATAGCCCTACCTTTGCCCTTCTTCTGAAGTCTAGTATGGATTAAGCCACCTTCTTGGCAAGGATGGACAATGTCCCCTACAGGATGGGTGGAGTCATCAGATTTGTACATGGGTGGCAAGGATGGGGGAAGCAGGGACTGGGCACAAGAAACAGTCTGAGCATTGTGAGCATGTGCATCATCATCATCTAGGAATCAACATGTCAACATGAGGCAGATGTGTATATAGATGGTAACAGAATAGGATCACAACAATTCTTTATCTATATAACCAAGGGAATGATGGGCAGCAGGAAATGGTCACAAGTATCCAAAGCACCAAGCTTTGAAACACAAGTGGGCACCAAGCCCACCATCGCATGACCAGAGAGGCACCAAACCCCAAAATCAAAAGAAATGAGAATTATCTGAAAAAAACATGAGAGAACGAGGGATACAAAACAGAAAAACCTACCACAGGAGTCACTCAAGCTCTCTGTCTGCTCATCATCATTCTCATTCTCATTGTAATCAGAACCCTTGTCATCATCATTGCTACTGGGCAGCTGGTCATCCTCTTTCTCACTACCAGACAGCAGGTCATCCTCATTCTGGCTACTGGACAGCTGATCATCCTTGTTCTTGTTACTGGAAGGCTGGTCATCCTCATTTTCATTGTTGTTGGGATTCTCCTCCACCTCCTCCATTGCAGAGTCCTCATCATGGATTTGGTCATCCAGGTGCAGGGAAGGGGAAGGGAGCATTGGGGTGTTTGTGATGGAAGGATGAGGTGTCAAGGAGAATCTTCTATCTCTCAGGCCAAACATGTGCTCTTCCCAGCCTTCAGGAGGCTGGACTGCACACTGCAGTTTCAGTTTGCCAATCATATCCTTCAGAGTAGATTGCTGTGAGTGGAAAATGATGTTAGAGTAATGGATGAGAAATATACTACAAGATGTACCTCTGAGTGTTGCATTCCATCATTAGAGACAACAGCACCACCTTTTTTTACTCATTTGGAAACCAGGGCATTTTGTGAGGATGGAATCCTTTGGTTGTGAAGAACACTGTAGGAATAGTTTTAGAAGATACCTAGAAATAGTAATTATCAGTAAATGGGCGAGTATAGTGCTCGACCCAAAAGGGAGGTCCTGTGTGGAGAAAGAAAGGTGTAGTAAAAAGGTAAAAATGCGAACTAAAATGAAGACTTAGCTCTGGGATGTCTTCCTACTGATCTAAATGTCTTTCCAGTCCTCCTGGCCCTTTGGGTACTCCCCAAAGTAATAATTCTATCCTCAAAAACTCACCAAAATGTGAGACAAAATCACCCTACTACTGAGGGCCTGTGACATGAATTGGTTTTTTTTTGGTAAACTGAACTTGCACAAACACAGCACATGTGCTTAGTCAGCAACATGGCTGCTTGCCACCAAGTCCAGTGGTACAAACACAAAAACAAAAGCAAGAAATAAAACACAAATCCCCCAACCCCTATTTTCTTCTGACCAGGACAACTTCTCCTAGGGAACTCAAACTCATTCCCTACAACCCAAGTGTTCAAGTCAGCAATGGAGTCCCTCAAAGTCTCTGGGATATCAGCAGAGTGGGGCATGGTTGTATGGGGGTGTTGAGAAATGGGGGGAGGAAAGGTGAGTATTTAAGGTCAGAGCATGTCAAGCCAAGATGAACCACATGGGAAAAAAAAATCCATCTAGAACATGTTGTCTCAGCATGCAAAGTTCTGGATATAGCATCAGCAAGGACATATGAAACCACAAAAAGAGGACACAACATAAGGGGGACAAAGGAAAAGCATGCAGGAAAGAAGTGGTTGTAATGCATAGCAAGGATGACACACCTATTAAAATGGAAACATACAGGTAGAATTCCAATTGAAATCCAGAATGGCAGTACTCTGTCTGTGCGACCCAGAAAGTGGGTTTCCTCAGGACTGAAAAACCACAAGAGTTCATCAGTATCCAGCAATAGAGAAAGGAATGGGCTTACTAGATGGAAAATGAATCATTCAAGCCCCTAAGGGCAGTCACTGATGAGAGCAGTGTTGATGCAGTCCAATAGACACAGTCCCTTTCACACAATCAATAGCCAAATCGAGCATATAATGTAGACTGAACATCAGAGGTATGACAACCTTTGGGTGAAGTTGTTGTTGAAATGAATCTCTGGTACTGAGCGATGAGGGTCATTGTTGTCTGTGCAATTGATCACTGGATTGACACCAAGACCACCCTTGAAGACTCCAAGACTTCAGGGGCTGTCAAGGGCACCAAGCCCATGACATTTAGCAGAGAGATGCTCCAAGTGTTCCACTGCTAAGTGGTAGAGCTTGAATGGTAGAAATTTATGAAGGATGGAAAGTGCCAAGTTGTGACTTGCCTCACAGTCAGGCTGCCATACACAATACATGGCCTGAGGATTTATACTTTGTAGTAATTAATTGGAGACTGCTGCAAGAAATACTTGCCAATAGATAATACAATAGCTGTTAGTCTGTACATGGATATGGTAAAAAAAATTCCAGTGGGAGTATGCACACAGTCATCTGCTAGATATGGAACCCTTGCTTCATGATCTGGGTGGCCATGGACAAGAATAGTGGAGGGATCAGTTGAGTTAGGTGGTGTTAGATGTATCGATACTGGCAGTGCAGGAAATTCTGCATAAATGGGGATTGAGGGGGATAAGGTGGCAGGTGTACACTCTTTGCAGGACAACAATCCTGAAACCCCCAGACTTGATGGGCATAATGCTGCCATGGGGTATGTGGGTTGCAAGCTGGATGACCCTATGAAGGCTGCAATATGATCAGTCCAGAAATGTCACTTAAGAACATACTCACCTTCAGCATGAGATCTTAGTAACAAAGCACTTGCTAGTGTTTCAGCATCTGCTGCATTCAATTTGAGGTTTCCAATCAGAGTAATTAGAGCACCTGTGCCAAAATGCATTAGTCATCAGGAGTTAGTCAGAAAAACATGTACTAAGGTTGCTAGAGCTTATATCCAATCCAGTACTGGGCAAAGGTATTTCAGACATGGTGGGTCAGGGAATGGGAAGGAAAGGCTGGAGAGTGAATCCCAGTGAGAATTGGACAAATGTGTAACTAGGTAGACAAATGTAGTACTATTTACCAACTATTGTTTATATGTATTGGTATGTGTCATGACATGCATAGGTTGTCCATAGCTATGCCTAGTTGGAATGGGATATCAATTGTGTGCAACCCATCCAATCCATGCCATCGACTCCATGTGATGCAATGTACTTGCGCTAGGTTGTTGAATCTATGCTATCTGGTGCAATCCATGCCATCCATTCCATATTCTTGCTGCACTCACTATGAGTACTACCTACTCCTTGTCATGCTGGACCCTGCTCCAAACCTGTGGTGTGTATGTTGCAAATATTGCAAAGGTGTTCACAGGCCCATTCATATGCTGAGAACTTGGAAGTGGCACCTACATGAGGCAGACAATGATGAGAAGGCATCTATAACACTGGCAACACAATCCAATACTTTCTGCGCATTCATTGCTACATCTGCTGTGAGTACCAGCACTTCTAACAGATCTGGTGCTGCTGGACATGCACACCTGGTAAGACCACATTAATAACCATTCTTCTCTTTGGTTTAAAAATCCTCTTAGACACTTGAGGCAGAGGATCACCCTCAACTACCTTCCCAGGGAGATGCCCATCAAAATCAGATGGATGACCACATGCATATGGACAAGGTTGCAGATCAGCAAGATGCTGATGAATGTAAGTCCTTTGATATGCTTTTTTTTTCAAGGTAATCATCAATGCCCTGCAGATGTTGATGATGGGCTGGGAGATTTTTGCAGTGACAATGGGGCTGGAGATTTTCATGGTGACAACAGTCCTGGAGATGTTTGGGGCGATGATGGGGCTGGAGATGTTTGTGGTGGTGATGGGGCTAGAGATTTTCATGGCAACAATGGGGCTGGAGATTTTCATTGTGACAATGGTCCTGGAGATTCATGGAATCATGACCCACCTGCTGGACATGATGATGACCATCCACCTGCTCCACCTGTCCATTCCCCCCTCCTGGACCTTGATATCAAGAAACTCATTTGCAACACATGCCTACCAAAGATATGGCACAGCCTGCACTTTGTAAAAGACATCAGAAACACCTCTCTCAATGATGGAGTTGGCATAACAGGTGAACCACTTGAGTGCCTCTGCAATCCCCCCTAAGAACCTCTGTGTGTAGACGATCTGTCTACTGAACTCGTCTTGTCAATGTTTCTTGCCCTCAAACATTCATCAGAAAATGCATATATGAAGACTCAGAGAGCCATTCAGAAGACTTTCCCTGATTGTGAACTCCCTACATTTCACCAAATGAAGTGCCTACTCACCAATCTCAGCAGAGTCACATCCATAGTCAAAGATATGTGTATCAACTCCTGCACTGCCTTCATAGGTCCACTCTCTGCTCTCGACACCTGTCCAGAGTGCTCCAAGCCACGATATGACCAAGGCAAGCTGCAGTGGAGCAATGGTAGGACCAAACACCCCCATGCCATCTTCCATACAATCCCTATCACCCCACAACTCCAGGCCCTTTGGTGCCATCCTGAGACCACAGAGAAGATGCACTACTGGGAGAATCGTACCCAGCAGCTATTTGAGGAAATCCAGAGAAACAATGGGTTAGTTGATGCTTATGATGACATATTCTGCAGGGAAGCATACCTCCACACAGTGGCTCAAAACAGGATCAAGCCAGAAGACATGTTGCTCATGTTATCAATTGACAGCACTCAATTATATGAGAGTAAGGAGTCCAACTGCTGGATGTATATTTGGATCATCCTCAACCTTTCTCCCAACTACCATTACAAGAAAAAGCATGTTCTTCCCAGCACAATCATACCTGGTCCAAAGAAGCCAAAGATCATTGACTCTTTCTTGTTCCTGGGCTTACACCACCTCTCCACTGTTCAGCATGAGGGGCTTCACATCTGGGACACCTCATGAGATCACACATTCACCTCATGCCCATTCCTATTTCTTGCATGTGCTGATGGTCCTGGCCTACTTACCCTCAGCAACTTCATCAGTGTCACACACCAAAGGTGTTTGGTGAGGTAGACATGGATACAGCTGATGAATGGAGATGAAGACCATAGCCCTCATGTGAAGAAGGACAGCCAGAAATGTTGGCAGTAATCCCTCACACAAGAACAAGTCATCAGTGCCAAAGAAAAAGAAAGGGAGCAAGTTAAGTGCTGGTTAAAATTCTTAAGCACCTGTGTATGGCTGTTGCAAGATACAGCAGAAGACACTCCCCCTTCATCCTCTCTTCCAACAGAGCCTCATTCATGAAGTTTTTATTTGCTTCACTGAGAGGATGGTTTGGGGGGGAAAGTTGTGATCCCCTATGTTCCTGTCACCCCACAGACCCCCAAAGCTTGACCCCTGTTGACATCTGACTCACCCTGTCCACTGTTGGATGTACTATATTGGCATCAGATCAGCACTGCCTCTCTGTCATCCCACTTTGGCCTAGAAGCAATCTCTTTGAGATGTGACACCCAGGGGTAACAAGGATTTTGTCTTGCCCTAACTTCCATACCACTGTCCCTGTGCCAGAAATGCATTGGTTGAGAGGGGACTGGTTTGGCCATCATGTTCTGAAATGCCAGATTGACCTCCAAAACATTCTCAGCCTTCAAGTACTGATTAGTCCCAAAACACATCAGGCATGGGGGGGAAACAGTCCAGGGAATGACTGCCAGCAGGTTTTTAAGGGACTCATGGTTCTAAGAGTATGTTGTACTGATGGCACTGTGGTGGCCACCAGTATTTGATAAGAATTCCTTGAGAAAATGACCATGCAAGCTAGAGAGATGATTTCAGGAGTTGTGGTAAAAGAGGGAGGATTAATGGTACAAGTTGTTGCAAAAATGTTTAGGGTCATGACAATGATGACAAATTGTAATATGCATTATGAAACCCCTCTCCTGCTTAATAATGATCATTGTAATGTTCTGGCAATGCAACCAAGATATGATAATCAACAAGTTCCATTATCTTCAGGGTAAGATTGCCATAAGATCATCACAGTGGCATTAATGCAATGTGGTGGCTTGTGCTGCATGTTGTTGGTACGTACTTTAATCCTCACGATCCCCTGCCCTTTTTCCTGAACCACTGCAATCCCTTCATCTTCAGCATTTTGGAAATGGCCCCCATTCATCACACAAAATATAACTATTCGGAGAAAACACTTTCAAAAACATCGAAGTGCCAAATCTGTGGAAAACTATTCAAACCTCAGGGCATCAAGAGCCATGCGACACACTGTGTGGCTCATCAAACAAGGGAAATACAATGAATAGACGCTACTAAGGAATATGAGAGGGAAAAGGAGCAAGGTGTGTCCAGTTTTCACTGTGTATCATTCTCAGCTGAGGAATTGAGGGTAGCATTGGTCACATCTGCATACTCAACAGTGTGCATGCACATCACGCAGGCAGGCCCTTCTCAAGTAGCCTGCATGCTTAATGAAGATAATGATGGATTGCCAAGTACATTTCATTCAACCTATGATATACCTGCACTTAAGGCCGTTTTCTTTACAGCTCCCAACATTTCTCACTCGGGACACATGGATTTTGTTGATCAGGACATGTGGGAGCCTCATGGAGATCCCGCTGCACAAAGTGGTGAGTGCATGAACTCAGTGCTACCTGGTTTCTGAGTGTGCCATACTAAGTACATACATGCTTGATATGAATAGATCAATCAAATGTCTTCATGGCAAGTAATGGCAGTGACTGAATGCCATCCCCTGAACAGCCACCTGCTGACTTCAAGACTGAGTTCCATCCCTGCAGCAATACCCCATCGCTTTTCCAGTCGCAAGAAGAATTTGGTCAGCATGCTACTGCTACAATGGCCCCTGATCCACACCCATGGCACCCATTTATCGAGGAGGGCGACTACTTGTTTGCTGAAATAGCATTGCAAGTGGGCCTCAATGCATCACAGATCAATGGGCTGCTTTCCCTCATTTCATGCATCATCCAAGAAAAGGCAAATGTTACCTTGTGGAACGATGTTGACCTTCAACATGCATGGGACAGGGTGGCCATGCAGGTGACACCGGTACGTTCTTTCTCTTCATACACTGTGAGCTTCCATGCATTCATCCACAAGCTTCTACTCTAGTTTACACGACACAACATGACTGCACCTTATAAAGGAGAGAACTTAACATTCCCAGTTTATGCATGTTCGTTATGGGAGTGGGCTCTTGATCTCTTATCGAACCCCCTCCTTGCACCTCACTTCATCTGGGATGCCCAACAGGTCTTCCGACATAATGGCCATGAGTATGAGAGATTCTACTCAGAACCATGGACTGGTGATCGCTGGTGGGACATTCAAGTATGTTGTAATAACCTGTATACTTTGTATATACCGTATTTAACTTGCACTTGCTTCTAGTCTTGTTTACCTCAGGTTGAAAATGCAGCCCTGTTTGCTTTTATCCTATATGCCAACTGAACATGTCTAAGTTCCCACAGAACTGTCAAGGGTTATCCTGTCATAGCTTGTTGTGGAAATCTGCCCACAAACATCAGGAATGGAGAGCACTTTGGTGGTGGATGTGTCGTCAGCTGGTTGCCTATTGTAAGTTACTGAGTGCAGGCTTCAGCATCCTTGCTCATGTATATTATGCAAGGTTCCCAAGTCCACCAAAGAAGAGGGGAAGACCAGCTACACCAATTACAAATGCATTATTTGGCATGAAGCATTCCTTTGTATCATTGATAGACTTGCCAAACTCTCAAAGCTAGGATACAAATATGAGTGCTATGACAAGATCACTTGGTGGCTCTTTCCCTTGATTCTCATCTTATCTGCTGATTATGAAGAACAGTAAGTCAAGGGCACTACAAGTGCGCATTGACATACTAATAACTATGTTGACATTAGATGCATGATGAGCCTAATTCGAGGCACAAAGAGTAAATGTCCATGCCCAGTTTGTTTGGTTCCCCTTGAGGATTTACCCCAGCTTGCCAAATCATTTCCAACACGTACCATAAGACAGGCAAAGAAGCCTTG